TAAATTAGTATTTGTAAGAGCGTACAGTACTTCCACAAATAAACAGTTTAGTGGGTTGAATGTTTTTGTTGACATACACCAGTATAAGCACAAGGTTTCTGTTTAGAAAACAAAACTGGGATCAACAAGCTAACTTGTGTTGTGCAAGGCTTTCAAAGGGAAGGAAAGAGGAGGAAAACAGGCCCCAGAGGCCACCAATTACTCCCAGTTCTTGGCTCCAATTAGATCTCAATTTCCAGAAAACCTGAGTAGGCTGAAAATACAAAGCAGGAACTTAAACCACATTTCTGTGAAATATTCAGCTGCACAAGACACTCAATGATAATTCAGCTCTCTGTCGCTGCCTGGGATGTCCTGGGGTTGCCACCGTGACAGGACCTTAGAAATCCCCCCAGCTGAGCATGCACAAAAGTGAAAGGCACACAATTAAAAACCCAAATGAAAAAAATGCCACATTACAAATGATCCTGTGGCTATTTGGATACATTTAGATCCTTGCTTAGAAGAATGTACAAAATTGGAAGCCAAACTAGATAGGTACAATGCTGGAAGTATTACGGTAATTTGAAAGTAAGAAGAATAACAACTATAAAAACTAACAGGAAGGGCAGGAAAAAAGTTCAAGCCAGTCTGAGGAATCAGGTAGTCAACAACTTACCAGCTGAAAGCATTAAAATAAACATTTTTGACAAATACGGATGACACTGGGAACTGACCAAAAAAGAATTCCCTGAAATAGACCCCTCTCTACACCGCTTTCTGCAGATAAACAAACCCAACCACTCTTCTGCTGGCTGCAATTTGCAACTAGGAAGAAAACTCCCCTCAGCCACAAGCATATGTGATATCCTGATCAAGGAAGAAAACAAAACCGTAATGTTTTTCACAGAAGCCTTTGCAATTCGATCTTGCCAGCTTGCACACAATCTTTCTCCTCAGCAGTGTATTCCAGAGGCACAGTCTAAAAGAGAACTTTGCACTCAAAGAACCCAAAAATGGAGTGCATTCTGAATTAACAACATTAAATAAACTCACATTTTGAAAAAAAAAAAAAAAAAAAGAAAGTTTTCCCATTTAGTTACCTCCCTCATACTCGCTCAAAACAAGTCACTTCCACTCCAGCATCTTCATACAGGACAAAAGCAGTGTGAGCTAGAACAGGGCTGCACGACTGCGGTTAAATCTGGTTTTAAGTGAAGAGAAACGGCGTAACCCAGGCTTCATTTTCCCCAGTTGCTGCCCACCCCCAGTGCTGGAGGCACGCTGGTAGAGATTTCCATGCTGTGGACTAAAATGCAAACATTGACATATGCGAATGGCCATAAAAAGCAACACTGTTTTACATCGGTCGGATTCAGCGCTACAGAGAAACTAACTAGGATCATCTAAAAAAACCCAAATATTAAATCCAGCCCCTTCAATGTTTCCTGGTTGAGAAGGTTTACGAATATATATTAAAAATATAAAGAACCCAGCAATTTTAAGCTTTGAATCTGTCTTAACACATCTGTTCTGCACTGCGATACGGCGAGGGGAGCTTTTCCTCCTGGAGAGCAGGGCATTTCTCTCAGTAAGAGCTGCAGGAGCTAAAACGTGCCAGTGAAGAAGAACAGAAAGACCTGGCAACCTTTAGGTTTCACCACGTGCAAAATAACTGCAGCATTACAAACCCGGGACTCCAGCAAAACGAAGTGCACCCTTTGGGGAACAAAATTACGTGCAATAAGAAAGCCTGCCCAAAGAACACAATACAACATGCTTCACTTAGTTTGAAAAAGTGTCTTGCCTAAGCATTAGCCACTTTAAAAATAAAAAAAAAAGAAAAAACCTCACATAACAAAAACCTCAACTTTACAAAATTAAAAGGAATTTGTATAAGCATGACTCCAAAGGCAAAGTTGCTACTCACAGCCATCAGAAGAGTTGTGGATTTTGTCTAAAAGCAGAACTGAGAAGCTAACACTTAAGGATACGGCCCTTCAGGACAGCAACCCCTGCTTTTACAGAAAAATCACAGCAAATTAGCCATTACAATAATGGCTCGTTTGTCTCCACAGCAGCATGTTTATCAGTTGAAAACACAGCACACAAATACACTGTGTATGTACACACCTGCCCATCAACGCTGGGCCTGAATAATCTCAGAGTAGGAGATGACCAAGGGCAGGTATTACAACCCTGAGTGGCCACTGAAGCATCACCTCCAGCTTTACAAATGGAAACCTACACTCAATGCCCCAAAAAGTTATATTGGGCAAAAAGCTATCACCAAACAAGCCAGAGAACTTGGACCATGATGGCATCAGACCACACCAAGTGCAAAGGCAACCAGTGACCGAGCCCTGCTTTTCCTCAGGCCTTGCACAAGCATTTCAACCTTTCCTTCCGGAGCTAGAGGCAAAATATTTCTTCCTCAATGGCAAGCAGCAGAACTAGCAACACACAACAGCAATAACAACAAAAACAAAAAAAGCCAAAACCAAAAAATACTGCTGAAAAATAAATCAAATAATCACAAGAGTGTTTGCATTGGACAAGACATTCTGCACTACATTGAAATCTAAAGAGTTAAACACCTGCAATAAAACTTTGAATGAGTTTTCTTTTGTTTTCACCAGCTTGAAATTACAGCTACAGGACACTCATTTAATGTTTAAGAGAACAAATATTTTTTGACTGCCTGAACTGTTCTGCAGAAACATAGCCAAAAACTTAAAAGGTACCCAAAGATGAAAACAGGAAGGGGGAAATCACTAAACACGCTTCACTACCCACCACGCTAGCAACTCTGTAGAAAAACTAGAACTGTGGACTGCATATATAAAAAGCATTTTATATTAATTTATTCAAAGCATTTCCACTTTAGAAATAAACAAAATCTTGCATTAAACATTCTTCTAAATTAGAATTCTCCGCAATGTTACAACATCCCTCTCCTCAACCTATTCAGTGCAAGGATTTAATCGCTGAGACGTGTCACTGTCATGTTCCATCCCACGAAGGAACGGGGACGATCATTTTTCTGCTCTTTCTTATAATGGAAGCACTGCCAAAGCAAGAGCTTCTTCTCCTCCTCCTCCTCCTCTCCTTTGTGGTGTCTCTTCTTGAAGCTTTATCAGCTTTCAGTCTCATTTTAGAGCCTTAGAAAAGCAGGAAGCTTGTCTGCAAAGCAGCACTCCGGAGAAGTTAAAGAGGTGACAAACTGAATATGCAGTAGCAGCGTGTGCTGAATGACAGTGTAAATGCTCTCAGAGAGGTGCAAGATGTTTTTAGCACGCTGCAGCCCAACCTTTGAAGACTAAGGAGGGTAAGTCAATATTTATCTTAAATTCCCTTCTCCGACGTCCTCACACGCAGGCCTGACCAAGCAAAGAAGGGCCGTCCGCGTGAGCGGACACGGAGCACCTTATGACCGTGGAATTTTGCAAAAGGGGTTTTTGAATAGCCTGTGCAAAAGCTCTTAAGAGAAGTACAGGGTTGATTCCGTACAACTCCTCAACTCCAACTACAGGTTTTTGGGACCCTCGTTAGGGGAAGCCACTTGCTAACGAGCCCCAGAGCGCCCTGTGTTTCCTTCTGCCCGTGTCACCCCACGTCCCGGCCACTTCTTCGCCACAGACAGGCCCTGGGCACAGGGAGAGGGCTTTGCCATACTCCATCTCAGCGAGGGCTGCGAGCACACAGAGCATCTCTATGGCCAAGCACAATCACCAAGGATTGAACTGCCTCCTCTCCCGCCTGCACGGGACTCCAGGACTGCGTTACCCTACGGCCTGCCAGATCTTTTATTCTTAAAAAGTCACAGCTCCTTCTTGTTTTCCTTCACCCTTCCTACCCTCCTCGGGTCTTAAAGCCACGAGCAGCTCAAGGCTCACAGGAACTCGGTTATTTTTACTATTTTTCCCCTCACGCCGGAGTTCCGCCGCCGCCGCGCCTCAGGGCGGCCCCGGGGCGGGAGGGGAAAAAGGCGGGCGGGGGAGTTTGATCCCCTCAGGGCGGCCCCGGGGCTGGGGGGAAGAAGGCGGACGGGGGGAGTTTCACCCCCTCAGGGCGGCCCCGGGGCGGGGGGTGAAGAAGGCGGACGAGGGGATTTTCACCCCCTCAGGACGGCCCCGGGGCCGGGGGAAGTTTGACCCCCTCAGGGCGGCCCCGGGGCGGGGGGTGAAGAAGGCGGACGAGGGGATTTTCACCCCCTCAGGACGGCCCCGGGGCCGGGGGAAGTTTGACCCCCTCAGGGCGGCCCCGGGGCGGGGGGTGAAGAAGGCGGACGAGGGGATTTTCACCCCCTCAGGACGGCCCCGGGGCCGGGGGAAGTTTGACCCCCTCAGGGCGGCCCCGGGGCGGGTGGGTGAGGAAGGCGGACAGGGGATTTTCACCCCCTCAGGGCGGCCCCGGAGAGAAGGGGAGGGAGGGAAGGGGGGGGAATTCCGCCCCGTCCCGCCACCAGCCTCCCCCCCCCC